AAAAAAAAAAAAAGAAAAACAAAGAAAAAAACATAACCAACAACATAGTAATACACGACTCACGACATAGCCAATCCGGCAGGGACACGCTTTCTTTACCAAACAAGCCTTCAACAATCATGAAATGCCGTTTTAAAAAAGATTTTTAGTGTGTTGTTTTTTTTTTGTTTTTTTTGTTTTTGTTGCTTTGCAGACACCCGATATGACCACTGCACATCTGCAAGGCGCCCCGTTTTTCTCAGCGTTGCTTTTTGTGCTAAAAATCTGTACGGATACTTATAAAATCATTGATAAAAATATTCATCTGTTAACAATACGCCTTGGAGGGAAACCATGTGAGAGACTCGGGGAGGGAAGAGAGGGCTAGCTGGTTGGGGTGGGGGGGCTCTGAAGGAGGGGCGGCTGTAGAGAGGAGGGGGAGGTGTTGGGCAGTGCTACTCGGATTTGGCCTCCTCCTTGGCCTCCTCGGGGGCTGCCTCCACCTGCGGATTCAAACAGGAAAAGTGAGCTTAAAAGTAATTCTTGTTTCGTTTGTCTTTTTGGTGAACACGGGTTTTTGTTGTGCCGTCTTACCTCGTTGGTTTTGGCCTCTCCATTCTCAGAGTGGTTCTCCTCGTTGGCCTCTGCCTCGGCGTTCTCCTTCGCCTTCTTGGTCTTCTTGTCCTCCTTCTTATCGTTCACAGCCTTTTCTTTCTGCTCACGAAAACAGGAAAAAAAGGACTCAAAATTTTTATTTTTTTTTACAGGAACACACACCTGTGTCTCGTCCCTCTCTGACGCTCACCTTTGCTGCCTTCTTCACCTTTGGTTCTGGCTTGGGAGGGGCCGGTTTCTGAGGAGAAGACCGGGAAACGTCTTAATAGTGAGCTTCGAATATAAAATATTTCACTAAATGCCGCCAAGGGTTGGTTTCTAACAATGTGTTTTAATGAATGAGTTTAAAATCAACCAGTTTGCTGAATTTAACTAAATCAAGACACTTAGTAAGTCGTTCTTATAACTTTTACTATTTAAAAAATTAGCAAAGTGAGTAGAAAATGTTTTTGAAGGGTTTACTAATTAGTTGTGTGATGTGTTTGTCATCTGAGCCACTCTGTAAGTTCATTTTAAGGTTATCTGAATGGTTTTTTTTAAGTAAACTAAGACATTTAGTCTTTTTGTATCTCTATATTTTACCAAATATATTAAAAAATTGGCTTTAAGTTTATATTGGTGGTTTTCTTTAAACGTAAGACACATTTAATCATTTTGTATTGTTAAAAGTTTGTTATATACTTTCATTTCTCTACCTAAAGTCAAACAAATGATAAATACCTGAATTTGAATACATTTTATCAGTTTAAATGATTCTTTCTTTGTTAATATTCTGTAACTTTGCTTTAAAGTGACTTTTATGAGTTTTTGTATAAACTAACACTTTAATATCATTATAAGCTCAATTTATATGGTAATTTATTAACCCAAAGGTGACACAGTGATATTAAAACGTTTAAATATTAGACTTTTTGGAGTTTTAAGGCGTCTTTGTGTTTGTTTGTGTGATCAGCGAGCATTTAGGTGCGTCTGTGTCTTACCGCCGATAACCGAGCCGATCTCCTCTGGGGCTGAAACACAACGATAGTTTTATTAACGTCAAAGGTTTCATTTGGTAAAGGAAATTCACACCAAACTGTTCAAATTCTCCATATAACGTGTGAAACGTCAGCGAGTCTTACCTCCTCCTTTTCTCCTCCTTCTGTTCCCTGTGCGTGGGAGACACAAACACATCAGGTGAGGAAATATGTGGAAACAAAGCATCGGAGCACCTTTTTGAGTTTAAACTCAGGTTTGTGTGGATTGTGAACAGCTGTGCGGTGGTTTTCACTCACACTGGGTTAGTTAGGACGTTCTGGTGAAAACTTTTTAGTGTCAGGTGAAAATGAAACTGTGAGTCAGATAAAGCTGGATTAGAGGCCTGAAATGCTTGTTTAAGGTCTGGAATCGGAGGTGGGCTGCGGGGGATCAGCCACGCGGGTCTCTGGAGCCACATTCTGAGGGTCCAGGCCCGGCTCTTCCCTCTCCCCGCCACTCTTCTTTCTCCCATTGAAAAAGCACGGAGCTCAGATTTGAACGCTTTGGCGCGGGAGAACTCTCAGAAGGGGGAGGGACCTGCCGCGCGGGGAGGAGGGGGGGAGCTCACTCGCGCGCGCCCCCATGCGGCCGAGCGGCGCCACCGCAGCCATTTTGAGACTACGAACAAAGACAGAAAATATATAATTTTATCGAAACGCCGCGGCCAATGTTCGCTTTCGCGATCAAAACGCGAAGCAGAGGCACCGGAGCTTTTTTCTGGCGCCGCTTCGAGCCGCTTCGGCGGCCGAACGGCGATAAGCGAGGCGTTTGTTCTCGGCGGGGTCGGGGCGACGAAGGTTGGACAAGAGCTGCAAAGCATGGCTGCTGCTTGTGCTTTAACTGCATGGAGACCGACAGAGACTTCTGACTCTCAAAAGGACAGCAGCTCGCGCGCAAAACCCGCCTTTTTTTTAGGCCGTGTCCGAACAGGAAAATATTCGTTCCGACACACAAAAAAATGTACATAATATCTAGAACGCAGGCAAAAATTACCAGCGATTAAAAGCGATTATTCGCTGCGTTATAATTAAGTAATGTCTCAGAGAGATGCCTTCCCGGTCGTTTGCATTGGATTAAAGGCAGATATCGGCCTCGAAATATTTGTATTATTTTCAGAATACGTACCTTTCTCTTGGGCATGTTGATTTATTGGAGGTTTTCTTACAAACACGACTAAAAGCTGTTTTTCTCAGTGGGTTCGGTGCATGTGAAAGACGAGTGTCTCCCCTTATGCTCGGCAGTGTAGTAAACACAGTGGAACAGAGAGGAGAGTGGTTGAATGGGGGGAGGGGTGCGGCTAAACGGATGATTGATGGGCTCCCGGGCCAATCAGGTGACGCCATTCGGGGCTGCAGAACACTCGGAATTTTGGAGCCGGTGATGTTCTGGGCTCGAATGGCTTCTTCTTCTTCTTCTTCTACTTCTTGCAGGCGACAGATGGGAGGAAAGCCTGCAAGAATGGAGAGGCCGCGTGGAGGTTTCACACTGAGGGCGGAGGCCGCGCGGCGGAGCCCGGAGGCTCGCCTTACTCGGGCCCCGGCGAGAGGCAAGGCGAGCCCCGGCGTACAAAAAGTGCACCCCCCCTCCCCCCCCCTGGATTAGTGGCGTTCGAATAGGAGAAATTTAACCAAAAAAAAAAAAAAAAAAAACGGCTCCAATATGGCGCCGACTCCTTTACGACACAATTTTCTTGTGTCAGTCGGCTTTCCTAAATTCGTTTCAGGATTAAAATAATAATAAGCSTTTGCTCTCTCTGCATCAGAGGCCTGCAGGGGGCCCACAGAGCCTGTCTAATGAGAAGAGGCTTTGCTGGTTACACAAAGCGAAGCTAAAAGAAAGAAAAAAATCACAGCAGATTCTAACTTTTTTATATATATACATATAATCCGCTCACATACAAAATAACTGGAGCTTATAGTGGTGCTCCAGAACAATGGGCGCAGTCTGTTTTAACACACAAGAGGTCAGTGCTGAAATATTCAGACAATATAACCTCGATGTGTTGCCATCTTGACAGGCCTGTCGTCTCTCTCTCTCTCTCTCTCTCTCTCTCTCTCTCTCTCTCTCTCTCTCTCTCTCTCTCTCTC